TCCCCAAATGATTTCATAATTGCAAACAGTGTTGACGAGCTCTTTGGCTTAAATACGTTTATAACATATTTGCTGTGTTTTTGTGTAGATATGTTTTGATGTGCTTGCTAAGGAAAAATAATTAAAACCCCTCTGCCATTTCTAATTGAGAAGAAAGAAACGCAACCCATTAGTTGCTGTATACCATCATGAGATTTTTCCCCCCTCGCTCCCCCATTTCATTCCAGATTTGTTTCAAGGATTAACTTGTGTTAAATAGTTTCAGGTCCGAGCATCAGCCATGGTTCTCATTATTGGAGATCAAAATGGCTTAATTCCCTTTGTGTGTTGGTGCCACCAAAACACAAGGGAATCTTAAAACTGCAGACAGCTGATAGAAGTGGCACATTTTCTTCGTCAATCTGTCCTGCAGAGCCTGCATAGTTTCTTCTGCGCGAATGGCTGACACAGGGGTTTTTGTGCTAATGATGTTAAAGATGCTGGGACCTTGCAAGGCTGGGGAGACTTTTCGGAGAATCTCTTCTGGCTCTGAAATCCTTGGCACCCCTGTCCCTACACATATATGGTTGATAATTTTGCTTTCTCACACTGGATGAATTAACCATTGTATTCTGCTCCTCCTTGAGCGATGGAATAAGAACCCGTTATGCAGGAAATCCAGTGGTCCCTAGACGCAAACCACCTGACCTTAATCAAATATTGATACCGCTGCCTCTACGGATTCATGCGGAATTTGAAAATGTTTCTTATTTGCAAACAGGGCTTAGTGTTGAGGCATAGCACCAGACCATAAGGACATGAAACTGTATATCACTACTTTTATGACCAAAAAAAAAATCAAGAGTTAAATCAGTCCGGTGTCAATGGTTTTCTCATGAGAGCCCTAGAAGGAGCAATGGGCAGGCAGCCTTTTAGCTGGCCCGGGGTCCTGGCCTCCCACTGAGAAGTACAACCACCTGACAGCTTGCCTATCAGAAGAAATAGCGTGTGTCAGCATGTTCTTTCCACACTCACCCATCATGGAAAGCGAGTAAGGGATGGAGACGTACTGGGAACATCTTGCCAATGTCTGTTCTAGCATGTGTAGACTTCGAGAAAAATTGTTGCTTTTGAAAAATGTATTTATTTGTGTGTGTGTATCTATGTATGTTTCTCTCTCTCTCGTGTGTGTGTGTGTGTGTGTGTGTGTGTGTGTGCATGTGTGTGTGTCCCATTGAGTTTAATTAGGGTAGTCTATAAGCACTGGTAGAGAAATTATTTACTGGGACACGGGCAACTACTAGTTGCCACACCACTGAAGAAAATGATTTTTTCTTCCCTAGCAACCGTTAGCTGTAAGCATCTCTTCAGCAAGACGTAGGGCCTTATGAGTCTCCTCGGTCTCCATGATGGATTGTGAACAGACCCAGTCCCATGCAGGTCTTGTGCAGGGAATCCCCACTGCTGTGACCTCGTGAGCACAATGGTAATGACAGATCCAGGAGACATCACTTCGCAGCACCCCACCCTTTAACTCCTATCGTCTTTCTGCTCCATCTTCTGCAATGTTTTCTGAGCCTTGGAAGGACAGTAGTTCATAGTCAACAAACTCAATTTTCCTCCCGGAGACCTGGCGACATGGTATGACACTCAGAGGTGAGACTCTTCCCTCGACCACCCTTTCTCCTTTCAATTTATGGCTCCTACCAGCAATTGCACAGAAACCACTGCCAAAGTCTTCAGTATGACGCAGGGAAGGGGATGGGATCAGTCGACAGTTTGAAGGGAAAAGTGTTAGCTTTGAGGAGAGGTAAATTGTTGTATTAAAGGCGGGGCACCCTTGTCTTTGTCCAGCTGCTGCACAAATGTGTATCCTCTGTCACCAATGGAACCAGACTGGAGGGTGTAGATAGCCGCAATTACTGCCATGAAGACAGCTGGAAGCACAGTCCCGCTGACAAGGGTGTGGACACAGCGGGCAATACATACTCCGTGCCCACGCTCTGAGGTATGTTTTCAAGTTGGGCTTTGCAGGAGGTCCATGCCACACACAGACTGTGCATACAAGTAGAAGGTCCCCCCATGTCCCATTTCTCCCTGGGGCAACCCCTTCCTGCTTAAGGCAGGAAGACTTTGCCTTTGTCACGTGACTCTTATTCTTAAGCTGCTTTAATTTTGTAGTGCCTACGTTGTCACTGAATAGTTCTTGAGTTTTTAACCCATTTCGAAGCCTTACCAGGTTGTGAGCACTGCAGGAATGGAGCGTTGGTGTGTTAGAGTCTTACATGGTGTATTTGCAGCCCTGGGGACACTGTTGGATTGATGGGAGAGATGAAAAGCTTTCCTCCTTGAGTTGACTTGAAGGTCAGGTGCAGCAGCATTGTGGATTGGAGTGCTGATTTTGTAAGGGAGCACCCCCTAAGACCTGGTCCTGTTCTTCTAGTCACAACCCGGAAGACATTCCGATTCCCCTGAGAAGTTAGCCACATTCATCTTTTTTCTGAGATGTCGCTACAGCAATAAGCAAGGAAACTCAGACTACAGACTTCTGAACACTCCAGTATGGAGAGAGAGTTTTATTTCATCTATACCTTAACTTGGATATACAAGTCTGTTTAACTGGCTTTTTCTTTGCAGAGAAGATCAGGACTTGGAATAGGGTGGAAGCCATTGGGTTGATAGGCAGGGAGAGTGTGTGACATTATGCATAAGATTAGCAAACAATAAACTCAATTGATAAACAACAACAACAACCTCAAAACGTGGCATTAGACGTGAAATTTAAAAAGTACTGTGCCCCTTAGCAATCAAGATTAATAATTTAATGAATATTCTAAAGGGTCAAAATTAATGTAAACTTTTCCTGATGAATCAAATCTCAAAATTCTGAATAAAAATGTTTTAGTGTTCATTTTCATTTCGTGTGTGAACAGGTATTTGTTGGCTCTTTTCTTTCTTTCTTTCTCTCTTTCTTTCTTTCTTTCTTTCTTTCTTTCTTTCTTTCTTTCTTTCTTTCTTTCTTTCTTTCTCATCCTGGCTTTATAGAAGACAGCACCAAGAAGTGGGTCTCGATTGCTACTCTCCTGTCTTTTATCCGTGAACATTTGTCTGCCTGTCTGTCTGTATATATCAGAGTATAGGAAGGTAGGAGATAGTGTAGGTTTCTAGCAAAATGAAAAGTAACAAACTCGCACAAAAATAAAACATAATCGTGAAAGTGGGCAACGTTGTCTTGTATGTAGGGCTAATATTAGAAAAGATTACAAAGGGAAAATGTTGCCTATTCAATAGATGCATAACAAAAGATTGAACTAAATACAATTTAATAATGTTCAGCAATATGGCTGCAATATTTATTTCTCCGTTGAGCATGCATGGCTTCCTTTTATTGCCTTTTTCCTTTACTGGAATTGATTTTTAAAAAGGGCTTTTTCTTAAATTGTTCTGGATTTCCTTTATGCGGTACAGAATGCTGCTGTATGCAAAGTTGCTTTCAGGGAGAGCCAAGAGTGTGTGAAGTCAGCAAAGGCTCTTGAGTGCTCTCTTTCCCACTGGAAGGGCTTCCTTCATTTACATAGGAGGACGTGAAGCCAGAAAAAAGGGTAAAACACAAACAGGAGATCTGCAAGAGCCTTTTGGAAACATGGCAGATAAACAATACTCAAGTGTGACAGGTGCCAAGAGGGTTTTACATTTCTTGCAAAGGAGCAGCGCCTCCCGGAGAAGGAGCTCCCCATTCCCCTACCGCCCCGGGGACCTGGCCAGTGGTGGCTCAGGGTAGACACCTAGGTGCGCTGCTGTTGCTCAGGCAGGTGGGAGGAGGAAAAGCCTGTGTCACTAAAAAAGCCTCAGCGTCCTTTGTTTCCAAACCAGCAAATAACATGCTGAAGAAACTTGAAGAGAAGGAAGCCTCGGGCGCCCTCCCACCCCCACACTGCTCCGTGGAGGCACAGCTGCGGCTCTAGCACAATAAACCACGGTTTTCTTTGGAGCTCTTTACCTGGTGCCAATGGTCTACAACGGAAGGAGCAGAGGGCTGTTTGTTGGGGGGACAAAACCCCAGTCAGAATGTTGAGTTCTCTTCTGGCCCGGTTTTTTGGAGGAAGTGGTGTCTGTTTTGCTTATGTATGCAAGAATCCCCCGGTAGGCAAACTTTCCTGCTGTGCTGGCTTGGAGAAAGACACCCAATCTTGGACCATCGCCTATGATAGGAGATGCAACTGACCGCTACCTAGCTGTGGTTCCCCAGCCACGGAGCTGCAGCTACAAGGGAGTAACCTTGTTTTCCGAGCAAGCTGTCTCATGGTTGGTTGCACATTAAAAACACCGAGGGAGCATTAAAAAAATATGGATGCCAGGACTCTACTTCAGTCCTATTAAATTAAATATCCTAAGGATGGGACGCATGCAGCCAACATTTTTTAGAGTTCTCCAGATGGCTGTAATGTGTAGCTAGGGATTGAGAGGTTCTAGTCTGGAGCTGGAACCACAGACAGCTCATGTTCTCCTCAGGGCTGGTTCTCTAGATGGCCTCCAGCGGTAGAGGCTGAAGCTGCCTTTCCGTTTAATTCAGTTCAGATTCATGAACTTAATTCAATGAAGACTTATTCAGCTACTTCTCTGCATTTAATTTCTAATTGCATCTCTCATTAGGTTCGTGAGGATGCTGTTTCTCAAATAGGAGAGCAGGGGGATTTTAATTTATCTCATGTTTTAGGAGGCATATTAAAAATTATAGGTGTTTAACACAGATTGCAAGTGGCTAATTTTTTTTTTTTTTTTGGTGTGGGATCCACGTATCTTTCTTTCTTTCACACTCAAATCTCTGGGCAAATATGTAAAGCCCCGGTCTTTCAATTTACTCATTTGGTCTGTGCCTGTCAATAACTATTGGTGATCAGGGACAGTGAAGATGACACACTTTACTTCTGAATGCTCCATGGATTGACAGGGGACATGTTATTTGAGCCAGGAATTAAAGTACAATGAACCCTTACTCTGATAGGGTTCTCAAGTCTCTTTTTATCTGCAGGCCCATGTTATAGTTCATTTGGACTCTGCCTTCCAAATTAACCAAAATCAAAGCTTTCAAGAACCAAACCATGCTCACACTACCTGACCTGACCTCTCTGGGTCCATTCATCAGTCTTTCTTCACTACCTAAGCATGGTGACGTGGGTAAGATTGGAGGAAGGCGATAGAGACCCAAAATACCTTGCTGCAGATGGGAGGCATTCAAGTGCCGAGTTTAATATAAGAAATCGAAGAAAAAGAAGTCATGAATTTGAGCGAGAAAAAGCGGGGTGGAGGACATATATAGGAGGGGTTGGAGGAAGAAAAGGGATGGTAGGAAGTGATATAATTATAAACTCAGAAGATAAAAAATATTTCAAAATGAGGAAGAGTACAGAACTATATTTAAGGGCAACAACAGCAGATAGGAAAACAGTTATTTGGAGCATAGGTCCCAGGGCTAAGGTAAGTAGGGAAATTATCATTTTTTGGCTCAGGCTAATGTTTGACTTGTGAAAACACTGGGTCATGTATGAGTTATGAGTTATATGGCATCTCTTAGAAACCTGGCTCCCACTTTCCTTGGACATAATCTCACCTCTGCTTTCATCTACTGTGTGGATCTTTCATCATTTGTATTTATTCTCCTGTGTCTTCTTGAGGACATTTGTGGCAAGGTCCCAATCTTGGCTCACTGAGAGTTCATCTGCTTCCCATGGCTGCTCTTTCTCCACCTAAAGTCACAATCTGTTCTTGGAGGACATTCCCATTTGTACAACGACCGACTGCGATGTGGAATGGAGAACTTGAGCATCAGTTGGGGGATGAGTGGCTGGCAGGGAAAAAGGCTGCTAAGGCAAGATCTTCTTTCTATACAGATGTCCTTAATAATAAGGAAGGGTAGGGGGTAAAGTATGCGGGGAGGGGGGTAGAGTTGTTTCAGAACAGCTAGTCTGAGGGAGGACATATGATGTCAGCAATTAATTCAGGCCCTACATTCTGTTTTCCTATAAAAAATCCTATTTTAGTTGTGGTGCCTTTGACGCATCTGCTGGCATAAGCAGGATATATGCCACAAATAAAAATTCAAAAATATCTCTTTCTTGTAGACCTTGGAAACAGAAACTCTGAAATGGGAGGAAACCTACAGAGCATCCCAAAGGTTTCCCGGCCATTCTTGTATGGACGGTACCGAAGCCCTAGACCTGGATACCCATAAAACACTGGCTCTAGAGTGGAAAAATAGAAACAAAGATAACACCATCAAGAGTCCAGGCAGGTGACACCTCTGCAAAACCTTGAGTGATGTCCCTAGAAGACATATTGATGGTAAAAAGAAGAATAAGAATAAGAGAGATGAGTTCTCCCCCAGCTCCAATAACAAAAGTATAACAAAAGTTGGCAGGTTGATGGTGGCTTTGGCAAATCATTTTAACATCTTTTCCTGAAGGCAGTAAGAATCGGTTGTACTGCTCTCCATGTGGTCATAGTCTCAATCTGTTAAACCATCTACTGACGGGCTAGCAAGCAAAGTTTGTGTAAGTGCACTTTGTGACGGTCCCACAAAATAAAATAAAATTCACGGATGAAGCCATAGTGCAGTCAGTAGAATGCTTGGCTGACATGCATGGGATTCTGGATTCGGTCCCCACCACGTATCAACTGATCATGATAGCATATACCTATAATCTTACCATAGGGGAGGTGGAGGCAGGAGGGTCAGATGTTTAAATTCATCCTCAGCTATGGATCGAGTTTGAGGCTAGCCTAAAATACATGAGATTTTCTCTCAACAAACAAACAAACCATCGAACCAAACACCCACCCACCCACCCAACCACCCATCCAACCACCCATCCAACCAACCACCCATCCAACCACCCACCCAACCACTAAAGTCACCCAATGATTCAATTCTCAACATATTCTTGTCAAGTAATGCAGGGCTATAATTGAAACCCAGATGGCCTCTTTTGAAAACAATTTTAGATCTAGATTGACAGATTATGTTGACTGAGACGGACTTCAGTGTTCATTGAGATCCACTGTCTTGTTTTCCTGCAGAAATTGATGTCCAGCTACTTCCTGTCACAGTCTGGGACAGAAT